GAAAGCATGATCCTGGGAGCTGGAGCTGCGTTACCGAGACACTTCCATTTAGGTAAGAAAGCATGATCCAGGGATCTGGAGCTGCATTACCGAGACACTTCCATTTAGGTAAGAAAGCATGATCCAGGGAGCTGGAGCTGCATTACCGAGACACTTCCATTCAGCCAAGGTTATATCTACTTTTATTGTCATCACATAGGAATACTTATTGAGAAAAAAGGAACTTCCAGTAAAGTCAGATATTTATACTAAATCTGAGATAAAATGTTTAAGAGCATGTATATATATAAAAAAAATATTAATCTTTACTGTTTCTATAATTTCTGTAAGACATCAAAACAAAGATTAGATAACTACTATAGTAGTTTCAAAATTATATTCTTAAATACTCATATTTTGTTTGATTAGAGGATATAACCGTTAAGGAGCTGATACAGGGGTTCTTTGTATAATCATTACCTCATTAAAATAAGAATTCAAATATACACATTAACAGCACGTGTATAATGCTAATTAACAAAACTATTTGAAAGTTAAACCTTACCTAATTAAACTGTAGACAGGAACTGATAATCATGTTTGATAGATTAACAAGACCACACCAAGAAACAGAACCTTCGTAACAATCCTATTTTAAGGAACTGGTATTCATAGTTTATTTAGTAAAAGGACAATACTAAGAAACTAAAACTTACGAACAAAAACTATGAATAAAAACAGTAATTTTAATTAGGTGATTATTTTCAAGATTCGTGACATCAACTGATTAAACCTAAGTTAATCAAAATAATAACGACAAAATATTTGATTAACCGGATAGTTATAACAATCAAAAACAGTATTTTTGATTGGTTATTTTTATGACATTGTGTGGTTATGTCATGCCACTAATCATTAGTTATCTTCCTGACATTGTGTGGGTATGTCATGCCACTAATCATTAGTTATTTCTATGACATTGTGTGGGTATGTCATGCCACTAATCAATCTAATCGATACTCACAAGCAATCAATTATATTGAACAAACAAGTTAAAAGCCCAGCTCTAGATATTAGTTGCAATAATGATGAGAAGTCATAATGACAAAATTCCAATTACTTGGATAGATTTTGATTGATTTGGCCATGGCCTGGAAATTAGGGTGGTTTCCTCATGATTTGAGGAGTGTTTATGAGATTCCTGTTGTCACAAGCCATGCTCAACATTTCAGCTGTGAGATTGATATATTTGTTTCTTTGTTTTAGCATTATTGCTGTTAAGGCTATCAAGAGAGTTGACTTTGCAGGTAGTTCTTGAGAAGCTTTGCATAAAATTCAACAAACAAAAACCGATATCCCTGTTGTATTAATTAACAGAAACTGATGTCCAAATATTGCTTTTTTTATGGAACTGAATCTTGCTGACAAAGAAACAACAACCAGGAATTATTAATCATTTTTCATTGTTTAACAAGACCTTGCTATGAAATTTTATCTTGTTAACAAAGAACATAAGCAGGTCCTGATATTCATTGTATTAATTAACAGGATCTTACCAAGAAACTGAATCTTGCTAACAAAAACCACAATCAGGAACTGGCAGCTGAAGTTAATCGGTGCAAAGAAATGAAAAGTCAAGTATCTCAGCTGCAAGAAGAATGTGAAAATCTTCGAGCATCGTTAAAGGTATACAAAGTTTTTGATGATATTCGTAAATTATTTTCCCCTTCATTTCAGATGATTTTGTTAGGTTGAAGCTTCTGAGTAATGAAGTGTTTGTGGTGAAAAATTATTATTGTAAGGAAATAAATAATAGTATAATTGTTGTGATGAAAATTATTATTGTAAGGAAATAAATAATAGTATAATTGTTGTAATGAAAATTATTATTGTAAGGAAATAAATAA